GGGGGGGGGGGGGGGGGGGGGGGGGGAATTAATTCATCACGAAAATTGATAGAATCATACAATGTAACCGATAATCAATGGTTGTTTTCGCAGTTATTGGAGAAATATTGATATGCAAAAGAAATATACAGGCATTTCATATCAAACCCTATTTTGATAAAATACATGATGTAATACGATTAGTAAGGTACCTTATAGTAATATGCATATGCTGGTACTATGCCACCTGCCTTATCACCACCCCTTGTGTGCATGCATGCGTTTATGCTGCAGTTTCATTCATATTATGTTTTGCGATAGGATTGTGATTCCAACAGTATGGTTCTTCCATAGTGCAAGGACACTATATCACCCAGGCCAGACAATTTCATACTCAACCTTGGTTTTTGGACCCCTGTCGTCGGTTCGGAAGACCGGAGTATTAACCATTTGGCCATATCTACCTACAGTATGATCGAGTACAGTAATACAAAAATAACTTGACAGATTTTTCCTGTTGTTACATGAATTAAGTAACGAAGGTTTCCTAACGGAGTGCCCCGAATCTACGCTGCATTATTGTAATCGTGACCACGATTGGATTTTCTGCCTTGAGATTTCAGTTTCTACCGCATTCAAACATTATTAACTGTGTTTTAAAATGTTAAAGTACCACGTAGACTAGCGACATAATGACGGATCATCCAGGTTTTTTTGTAAAGTTCATGAAGACTTTCTTCTTTTGTTTCGTTTCCCCCTCAATTTCGAATAAAATCGAATTTATTTTGCTTGTTTGCTAGCTTTAAATCTTCTAATGTATTTCTTTGTTTTTTAAAATTCATACTTTAACGGTTATTAAATTAAATGTATTTTAGGTTAGACAACTTAATGTTTAATTACTTAAAGAAATATTTCATTTGTTTGAGTATATATCTCATAGATAAAAAGATATATATTCATTCTGCTCATTATATGATTTTTTATATAAATAATTAATATGATATTATCTTAAATAGATTAAAAAATGTTCGAAAAACCGTTAGAAGATACCTATTTTTTCATATAAATATAGGCTTATTTCGTTTCATGATATTTGTTTCATTTAAAGACATATCGGATTAATTCAAAGATATGCCTATTGTTTCAATTATTTTCAAAATATGGCTTTTGTTCGTATATTATAAGATAGAAGTTAATACGCTCCGGATAAAAATCATCAAAAATAGAAACAAGAATGTATTGTCACACTAACTTATTTCTAGGGCGCCGGATAAATGGTAGGGGGAAACGGAACAAATAATGTACAGATGAGGCAAAGTCCTTTGCTGCAGTACCGTCCGATAGTCTCGTTGGGAAATTAATCAAATGGTTTTCTGATCTACAATATGTTATTCTAATTATAGCAACGAAACCACTTATCGTTCAGATACAAACATCCGCAACTATCATAAATCTCACTTTAAGTTTAAATGTTTAAATTTAAGTTTCTGACTTTTATTAAATCACTGATAATCCGTGTGTCCAGTCACGTGCGTATATACCCTACCCGGATTTTATGTCGCTGGCGGACATTAAATGTCATTGATGGCCCGTACGGTTCAGTGGCTAGGTGTGTACCCTGAAGTACTATAGAGCCCTTGACGAGCGTTGCGTGTCTGTGGCCGTGAGAGCGTAATGCTATCTTTATATAAACTATATCGGAACAATAAGATAGACTAATGCGACTGCGTTAGAAAAATGAAACGTGAACATTTTAATAGAGGTCACACCACGGGATTATTATATTGATAAATTCTAAGGGAGCGCTGATGTATTGTCGCTGCGGTAACTAAGAACTCGCACGATAGTAACGGTTGACATGGCAATTGGGTCAAACAGCTACAAGTTATCACAAAAAAACCGGTTTTAGCAACAACAGCGTTCATCAGTTTTCACATTGAGTGCTCCTGTATTTTCCTCGTCTATCGGACCTGATTTTATGTGGATTTAGGACTGTATGTATTTATTAGCCGTGACAAAGATAAGTACGACGGCTTTCTGGCTCTCTGTATCCTTATTGTAAACTGAGGTGTATGGGAACAATTATAAAACGTTTAACAGATAGTACATCGTAAAGAAATGTCGGTGAAACAACATTTTCCTATCCAATGAAAAAAGTGAAAGTTTTGTTTTGTCATCATCATCTCTATGACATTCCTTAAATTTACATTGTAAATTAAGTTCGATGTTATTTACAAACGTACGTGATGTGATGTACGTAGCCAACTGTTTTATCACAACACATTAAACAGTGGACAGATATTGTGACGATGAAAAAAAAGAGGATGATATTCACTGATTTTTTTTTTAATAACTCCGCTATATTGTACGTGTTGACTTTGATTCACGAGACATCTCGAAGGTCAAGTTAAGTCGCCGGTCTCTGCTTACAAGGAAGTCAGCAACTATCTGAAATGTTGTGACGGACACTTGTTCAGGATTTCATTGTTTTCTAGTCAAGAGATTGATAAGATCGTTGGCGTTAATTTGGCGGACAGCGGTGTCGGTATTATTATACATGTACCCATTGCTGGAGACCAACGATTGCAATCTGAAATGGACTCGAACGTGACCCAGGACAATCTTAATCCATCAGTGTACGATTTAACAGATGGAGGTTCTTTGGTGGAACTCTATATCGAAGGCGTGTTATTGTCAATAATATCCATTTTGGCGATAGGAGGAAATACATGCATATGGATAATAATATGTCGGTCAAAAGAACTCCGGACGGTGACCAACTTCTTTATTCTCGGTCTAACAACGGCGGACTGGCTTGTGTCTGTTTGTAACATGCCTGTCACTGTTATAACACTGTTTGGAGGGGGTACATGGCCTCTGTCGTCGGATGCCTGTGTGCTGTTTGGATTCATAAATATGTTGACTTTAGTCACAAGTGTTCTGTCACTATGTAACATCAGCATTAACAGGTATGTCATGGTGTGCAAGCCGATTTACTTCAGGAAAATTTACACAAGACGAAATACAGCATTAATGATAACGGGTGAGTATGTTTATTTTTTTTTGCATATTTTTTTTTTATCCTTTCATGTTTACTTATGCATAATGACTAGATGATAATTTTGAGAGGTAAACACGAATTTATGATACGCTTAAAAAGAACACAATACTTTATGATATTTGCATTTTAAATTACACAGGAATTCATATTTTTAAACGTACACAAGAATTGATACATTTTAAACGTACACAAGAATTGATACATTTTAAAGGTACACAAGAATTGATACATTTTAAAGGTACACAAGAATTGATACATTTTAAAGGTACACAAGAATTGATACATTTTAAAGGTACACACGAATTGATACATTTTAAAGGTACACACGAATTGATTCGTTTTAAAGGTACACACGAATTGATTCATTTTAAAGGTACACAAGAACTGATGGTGCATTTGAAATGTACATAACAATACGTACATTAACTTTGTATAACATGCAACTTAGAAATTCTGAAATATATGATTCAATTTAATTCAATTAGAATTATTTCAAAAGCAGTACAGCTTACATAAATTTTACAATGTAATACCGTACATGTGTTAAACGTATGTAATGTATGGTATAATGCTAATGCAAAATCACAAAAGGGGGAAAAACGCACAGGTAAGAGTCAAAAGGTAACATATGCCCTTAAGTCATATACCATTTTTTTTAAATAGTATTTTTTTTATGAAATATTTATCTTGTATTACCCAAAAACCATCTTTAGATCCGTCATTACTGATACTGTCTTACAGAAACCTAAGTGTGACTAGAATCACATAGAACTTAATGGATTCTCCCAACCTGAATAGATGTGCCTCTCACCCTTCATATAAATGTCTCAAATGATTGTCTCCCATCCTTAACATAAATTTTCTTCCGCAACCACTATATGTTTCCTTGCTCCTGACCTATTTCATTGGATAAACCTGCTAGGAGTTGATACACATTTTTGGTTACCTACAAGTGGGTAGTTAAAACCACACTGGACATTATTTCATTGGTCAATCTTTTCATTAGGACGTCAAGTAACAATGCTTTGCGACGTCATCTTCCATTGTGACGTCACAGATCAAGGCAATTGTTTCCCCGATTGGAAACAGGATTAATGTATTTTCAAAAGAACCATATGTTTTTAGCTATGATATCGGAACGTTGTTGGAGAAAAAGTTCCCCAAACATGTGATGGTTGATAATCATGATTATCTAACTCGAGTTAAATTTTCTCACCCTTCAACCCTTCATAGATTTATGTCCCGCCCTTTACAGAAAAATATCCACTCCTTCAACAAAAATCTCCAACCCTTCACAGAAATGTCCCCGGACCTTCACAGAAATGTTCCCAGTCCTCCAAAGAAATGTTAACCTACCTTCACCGAAATGTTCCCCGACCTTCACAGAAATGTTTCCCGTCCTCCACAAAATTCTCACACACACCGTTCGATCACAGACATGTCTTCCACCCTTAACAGGTATGTTTCCCATTTTAAACCTGAATGAAATTTTTGTCAACCTTCTGGGTTTGACAATAAGCTACACGTGACTTTGATGTCATCATGAATCTTTCCCTACCTCTGAGGTGAGAAAGAAAAAATCAACCCTCTGGGAAAGATTTTATAAAGCTCAATCTATGACAGTCTCAGGCTGAAGAATTAAAAAAAATACCTCGAGGGTTAAGATTTCAGGAAGTTCAGTACATTCGGGGAATTGTTCCATATTTGAAATCTCCGACATAAAATGTCCAACCTGTCATTTCGAAGAATATAACACGATATCACAGAGATGAAAACAGCAATAATTGAAAACTAACAACGTCTTTATATGTGAATTCATTTTTCAACATAATACAAAACTTAAAACGATTTCAACGGTAGAAAAAAAATCATTGATTCACAAAAAGACCACACTCCAATAATAATTTGTTGAGACAAACGTTGAACATAACTCGATGCAAAAAATAATCCTTTAGACCAGTAAAATGTCAACCTAATACGGAAATCCATATACTATATGTCAACTCATACTGGTTATTAATTTCAAATTAACTTAATCTCTCAATCACAGCATCCTAAATATTTCTACTTGATCTATTCATGAAATACAAGGACACTTCTTCGCCATGCTAAACAACCTAATATTTGTCATAGTCAAACTATCGATTTTACGCTGCATAAGATTCTATAATCTCATTGTCATCAACATTTGACATTAATTTTCCATGAATTATCTGTTCTAGTCGATGCCCATTAGACCATAAGTTAATTGATTACTGCCTAACTACAGCAGAAATCAATTACCATGGGTCGGTAAGTGTCGGTGACGTCACTTCCGGCTACTCGATACAAAAGCGAATCTAATAGGTCACTTTTAGTTTAATCGTTACATGAAGTTGTCTGTTCAATGGACTAAATGACATTCGCTTAATATGGTGCCCTTATTAGCGGATACAGTTTAAAAGTGCGCACCTTAGGGATAATAGTCAGAGAAATGATAATAACAGTGGTATATTGATCGGGCGATTTCGATATCAATTATATATATGACTTTATGGATAATCAGGAAATACAAGATTTTACAATTAAGGTTATTAATACCCGTTTAATGAATTCATTGTAGAGAACGTTTGAACTTGATATGTATTGAACACTTTTCATATTGATATTTTCTCTCTCAAAAGAATATACAAAAATGTAAACGGCTCATATTCATAAGTGAAGGAAATTATATGAAATCTAGAAGTATTTTTTTTTATGTTTCTGAAAACCATGAAAAAATCAATATTGATCTTTACATGATAATTAAACCAGACAGTTATATCCCTGGTAGAGTGGAAAAGCTTTTTGAAAAAAATCTCATGTAGATTGAAACTGATAAAAAGTACAAAGATATTTTACAACGCGACGGTAAACATCAAACATTGTTTCCCACTTGGAAAATATCGAAATATGGCAGATGAATAAAAAAAAAACAGAGACAGAGAAAAATGATATCTTAACACAGAGTTCCTACAGGGATCATATTGGATAAATAGCATCAGCCATCACCCTTAAGTCACGACCTTCCCGATTTTATCCAATCCTCCGGCTAGCTTTTTGTTGCTGATACTATACTAAAATGTACAGACTGATGCGTGGGATTAAAAACACAGACGTTCTCCATATGGATATGAAAAGACTCTCAGGGTGGAGCGACAAATGGCTTTTGAAGTTCAATCATGGAAAGTGATAATCCATTCACATCGGTCGTGTATTGAGAGAATGAACGTATTACCTAATTAATGAAGCACAAGATGAAATATGCCATAATAAGGATTTGGGAGTGTTTAAAGACAATACTCTAATATAAGAAAACCAAACAAGGGCGAAGGTAAAAAAAAGAAGGCAATTTCAATGTCTGCGCTCATTCGACGAACTGCTTAACACTTGAATGAACGTACTTTTCTGCTTTCGTGTAGAACTCATTTAGAATATACCAACACGGTATGCTACCCACATAAAAATAAGCATATTGATATATTTGAAAGGGTCCAAAAGAAGGGCAACAAAACAAATTCTGGGATTTAGATATCTGTCATATCCGGACCGGCTTAAAAAACCACACTTACCGACCTTTGGCTTCAGACGTGCAAGATGGGATGTTAAGGAAGCAATCGAAACGCGTCAGATTGCCCTAAATTGTGGCAGGACATTTTCGAAAGACATTGTACCAGAGGTCATTCCAAAATACTTTATCCACAACATTCAAACATTGAAATAAGGAATAACTTTTTCCCTACAAGCAGTAAAAGTAAGAAACAGTTTTCCAGAGGATGTGATGTCAGCACCACCAATAGATACATTTAAAATCAGACTCGATAGACACTGGATTGTTCAGGAAATGAAATATATAATTACAGACCTAACATACCTTGTTAAACATGTCAATCATTTTTATCATAAATGTTGAAAAGTCGTGTTTCTGGTCTTCCTCGATGCAAACGGCACTAATGAAACGAAAATACCAGAAGGAATCGAATTTACAAGGAGAAGGCAACAGAGGCACGGGAAGTGATGGATATTAGAAAAGCAGAGTGTTGTGAATAGTGGACAGTGTTACTAGTGCCGTCTGTGTCGGAGAAGAGCACTACCACGATCTCACATTAAATATCTTCCATAACCGAACTTTGTTATAGGTGTACATGTATGCATTTTTTTTAAACATGTTGCAGTCCGGTGTAGATGGTTTGGTTTGGTTTGGTTTGGTTTAATTTTGTTTAACATCCTATTAACAACTAAATTCATTTAAGGACGTGCCTCCATGTGTTTAGTGTATGCGTGCTTGCGTGCGTGTATGAAGGAGACGGGGAAGTTGGTGTGCTTGCCTCCTTGTGATAGCGCCGATCTGATGCCGACTTTATAGTGCTATCTCACTGAAATGCCATGCCGAGGAGCACAGCGTTCCGCCCGGTCACATTATACTGACAACGGGTGAACCCGTTGTTGTCATTCCCCTAAATGTTGAACGTTAAGCAGGGAACAACAACTTCCATTTTTAAGGATTTTGGTATGTCCGAGGTAGGGGATCATACAGATTCTGTATCTGAAAATAAACTTAACAAATCTTGAGTATAGAGTAATTGTTGCTATTTATCTGAAAAATGTCTACACAAAGTGAAAATGGAGCTAACATCATATAAAATGGCATTATTAATTAAATATCTAGGTACTAAATGAAATATTGTTAAAAAGAAGGAAAGACATTTAGGTGAGTTGTGAATAGGTCCAAGAAGTTTCTTCTGTAACATTGTGAGTGTATCATATCTTATTAAGACAAGATAGTTTTACAAGAAAAAAATGTATTTAGACACAAAAGCAAGGAATTTCGAATGACAGATATTTAAACATAATGTCAAACAACAGCTAAACAATTATAAAAGAAATCGTCGTCATCGTCTTCGTCGTCCAACCAGCATACCTACTAAGTGCCTTTTAACATTTATCGATTAGTTTTCCTCGAT